AGAATGCGGCGGAAAGATGCATCTCCGTGAGGGAGAGTTCGAGAAGGCGCACACGGACTTCTTCGAGGCTTTCAAAAACTATGACGAGTCGGGCAGCCCACGACGAACGACGTGCCTGAAGTACCTTGTCCTCGCCAACATGTGAGCAGTTTTCGTTGGCAAGTGTAATGGGTTCTACTCCACCGCATCGTCTACGTGGCCTTCTAGAGGGACCGCTCCACCTTTTAAGCATTTTTGAAAAACCCACCGATGAAACCTCAGAACTCGTTATGTGTAGTGATAGAACTGGGTAGTGCCACTGCAGTACAATTAAGGTAAAGAAGAGGTAAATTTGAATTATTTTGGAGCGCAAATTACGCTGTCAAGATGTTGTCGCCGCGCCACACCTGTTTGTTTCCTGATGACCCCAGAGTAAAGCCCTATTCCGCGCGACAGCTGATGACGGCAGAGTCTGCTAACGGCCGTCGTCAGCGGTTGCGGACTAAAGGTCCAGTTTTGAGCTGTTTTAACCTGCGCATTGCGGCACGCGGGCTTAAAAGTGACGCCTCTTCTGGAATGATTAACGTCAGTTCAAATGAACGTTTGTGATTGGTATAACGGGTGGCGAAGATAGTTACCGAGGAGGGTATTGGTTGAAGTTTGAACCAGTGTCCGACCAGAGACCATGTGATGCGTCTGTTTCCCCAAAGCCAACGTGCGCTTCGAAAAGGGCCACTGTGTTAGACGCTGTAGTGGAGAAGTTAAAGCCATGGGATGACGTTTTGTGAAATTTACGGGATAATCGTCCTATATTTGTATATCTTTCCCGAAATGGAATGTTCCAGGCTTTCACAACTCTTGTTGCGCAAGCATTTGACAAATAGTGTATTGCAAACATCGTATGACACCCAAGTTGGAAAAACCACAACAAGTGGAAAGCATTACTTTCGTGGTGGTGACGAAGGAAGCCTACGCGATTTTTCTCGCCGGGGCTGTTACTTCAAAGCGAATTTCGGAGCAGTTCAGAAGCATGTCTTGAAGACGCGCGTTGCGATCAAATTGGACGCGTCTTGATGTAGCTATACAAAAAAGATGGCATACCCCCTGAAAGAAAAAGTACCTTGAAGGTTCGCCACAAGACGAAACGTTTTTTAGTGCTCACTTACCTTTGAATAGCAGCTGTCTTGTGCATTCGTTACTTGGTTTGATCTTCTTTTTTCCCTGCTGTACAACAAATGTTGCATGTCGTTTCAGGCTGATGAAGTCAGACATCAACCCGTTCGACTCGCAGGAGGCCAAGCCGTACAAGAACGACCCGGAGATCCTTGCCATGACGAATCTCGTGTCCGCCTATCAGAACAACGATATCAACGAGTTTGAGAAGATCCTGAAAACCAACCGGAAAAACATCATGGACGACCTGTTTATCCGGGAGCACATTGAGGGTGGGTGAACTCAGGGCACAGGGGCCGTCGTGGGTGGTTGTGCGCGATTGGCGGTATCTCAGTGTGTGGTTGGAGTGCGAACTGATGTCTGTTGTGTATAAGTTGACAAGTATGGTTCTTAGTGATGTTTTTTTTGCGTATTTACCTCGTTTGGTTTGATGTAGTTCTAAGGTACAAAGTTGGCATAGCTCCATCTATTTATGTCTATTCGTATTGGATATTATTTCAGTATTTTGTATATGATGTGCTTTCGTTTCATTTTATATCAAAGGAACTGGCGTTGCTGGTGTCTAAGCTCTGTGCAAATATTGATTCGGCGATAGTCTGCCCTTGGTGCGACGAGGTCTCGGTTGGCTGTGTGTTTGCTCGGTGCTGTACGAAGTATCTCCCATTCGGGTCTGATTTCGTCATATCATCGTTCTCCAGACCTGCTGCGGAACATCCGTACCCAGGTGCTGGTGAAGCTGATCAAGCCGTACACGCGGATACAGATCCCGTCCATCTCCAAGGAGCTCAACATCGACGTGGTGGAGGTGGAGAACCTGCTGGTCTCCTGCATCCTCGACAAGTGAGTCTGCGACAAATTCAAGTGCCTTGAGTTATCGGCGGCGGGTTTGGCCATGGCAAACTTACGCCTGGCCATGGACATGGCGCGAAGTGGTGGTGGAAAACACAGTGCAGGCTCACGGACAGCCCCGTCAACAGCCGTCTTTCCACCGGCGGAGACGGCCGATCGGTGATATTCAGGACATCCGGTGTCGAACAACTATTGTATCGAGTTGCCTGATGCATTGGCCTTTAGTCGCCATTTGGCGGCGCTGTGTTGACTGCATGCGTATGTACCTCACGACCAGCAGACACTGCACGTGTTCGGTTGCGCTCGTGTAATGTAACGAGACAAATGTAGCTCGTGATTTCTGCGACCTGACCTGATCCGCGTAACTTGAGTCGTGACCGGACCTGACCCGGCCTGTCGCTCTCGCAGCACGATTGCGGGTAGCATCGACCAGGTGAACCAGGTGCTGGAGCTGGCGCGCGAGCCGCGCGAGACGCGCCGCTACAACATGGTGGACCTGTGGGCGCGCCAGCTGTCCTCCCTGCACGCCACCGTCGTCAACCGCATGATGTAGGCCCCGCCGGCGACAGGCGCGCGCCGCGGGACAGAACACGAGCGGCGCGGGGCTCAGCGGGCGCCGTGGACCGGTCCGGCGTGCCGCGGGGGTCGGTGGAGCGGGCGGCGGCGTGGCGCGGACCGCACAGGAGGTGTGGCGTTCAGGGAGCACGCCTGTCGCCGTCTCGACGGCGTCTCCCGGCAGCCGGCGGTCGGTCGACCGTGCGCTGGTCGTGCTGGAGCGGCCCGGCGGATCGGCGCGCGCCGCCGGTGGAGGTCTCCCGTCGGATGGTGCGCCGTCACCGTCACTAGTGCAGTGTCCGGCGAGGCCGGGACTGGCGGACCGTACCAGCGTCCCCTGCCACGCCGCCGCCGGTGGAGGTCTCGCCGTCGGAGGGTGCACCGTCACCGTCACTAGTGCAGTGTCCGGCGAGGCCGGGACTGGCGGACCGTACCAGCGTCCCTGCCACGCCACCGCCGGTGGAGGTCTCGCCGTCGGAGGGTGCACCGTCACCGTCACTAGTGCAGTGTCCGGCGAGGCCGGGACTAGCGGACCGTACCAGCGTCCCTGCCACGCCGCCGCCGGTGGAGGTCTCGCCGTCGGAGGGTGCGCCGTCACCGTCACTAGTGCGGTGTCCGGCGACGCCGTGACTAATGGACCGTACCAGCGTCCCCTGCCACGCCGCCGCCGGCCGCCCCGACCGCCTTCTTTCGGTGGAGATCCCCCTCACCGCAGTCTGCCACAGCCGGAGTAGTCGGTCGCCCGTCCTGACGGAGCTAGCTACGGCTACTGGGTTGCTGGTAGCTGGCCGAGTGTCGAAGCGAGCGGTTCTCGCACACGAATCCTTGTTGGACCTTTTACTTGGTGTTGGCCCGAGTCCCGTCTGCGCCGCGACAGCCTTGCGTTGGCGGCGCCTGTCAGCGGCGGCCAGCTGCGTATCAATCCAGTACTTGTGATAGTGGTGAAGAGGGCTCAGTCAACAGTAACTTGTCCATGCTCTGAACGGCGGATTGTTCACGGGCCCGGAAGGAAAGTGTGCATTTGATCGGAAGGTGTATGTGTTTGTACACTGTGCAATGGGATGCAGTACAGTGGACACGTTCGCGGGGACCGAGTGAGTACTTGTGTTTGTATATACATATTTTTTACAAAGCGTGTTTTTTCATTTCAAAAGGTTGGCAAAACTGGCACTTTAGATCAGGACGGGAATGCGGACTGATAGGGGCACATGCAGGATTTCACAACGGGTGGAGAAAGTAACACTGAAAACATTTCACCGGAAACCGAGCGTAGCGTTCCGTTGGCTCGCGCAATTTCTCACGTATCGTAAAGCAACATGCCTTGCCTTGTCCTTCCTCTACGCGTCTACCTGACACTTAAATTGCCGATATTTAATCGCGTACGCATGCATGCCATACATTTCGTAAGGAATGGGATCACGTGCTTCTCGCCGAGGGTTGCCATGTGTGTGCGTCCCAGCAGATTGGCGCTCATAAGTGACCTTAGGTGTGAAGCCTATCAGATGGTGTGAGCACTTGCAGCTGAGGATAGCTGACGACCTGACGTCGATACTGCGGGAAACACGCCGCACGTGTCACGTACAAATGCTATTTTCGTGATGTATTTCCCTTGATTATCGGATTGTCTGCTCCATATGCTAAACTAGGACACTGAAGATGTCTGCGTCACCGAATCCCCGTGTAAATTCCAGCTAACATTGCGTCACCACTTATGGAAGGGCCACGCGACGTGAAAAATGAACGACATCGCCTCTGTTGCCCATCCATTTATGTTTAATTAACTAGAACCCACGAAAATACTCAAAGCACTGTCGTCCATGTGGTCTTGTTTTCGTATTCTTGTCTTGTGTTGCCTTTTAGTTATCTCAGCAGTAGCCATCGCTTCAGAGGCAGGTTCGGAAGCCTGTTCACCTACCCAGCTTGACTTGAATGATTAAGCTTCAGCGGCGTGCAATAGCTGCGTAACGCACGGCGTCCACCGCTGGCAGTCGTGTTGCTGTGCTACCGACAGATTATGACCCCTCTTCATGTCGGGTAAGCATGCACGCCTGCTACGCTGCTACCTGCTACCTGCCACTCGAACGGCTGCTCCACAGCAACCGTTCGGCGCGAAGGCCACACGCTGTCAGCTCCAGCTGCACAAGGTGATCTTTCCGCGCGGAAGCGTGGGGACGCGGCCGAGCACTCCTCTCGTGACCTGGGGACAGCATGGCGCAGAGGTGGCAGGACTGCTTGTCGCCTAGTCTCCCGCGGGGATGGCAGAGTGACGCGCCCGGGCCCGGCGCAGCTGGTGGGATCGGGCTGATAATTACTCTCCTTTGTACGTTTGACTGTCTATCATGCTGGGCTGCCAAGAGGCGCGGGCCGCGCAGGTGGCTCTGACGTCAAGAAGGCGCAGCTGATGCGCTCGTCCCGAGCGTAGAAAGGGGCGAGGTGGGTGGATCACGTGTCAGTCGGGGGTCTCCGCGGTGATCAGCGCCGACTATGCACCGCTCCGCCGCCGCCGCTCTAGGTAAGCCGTGACCAGAAATGGTGGATTCATCTCACCGGGGCACAGCGCTCGCTTCCCACGCGCACCGTGGCACTTGTGCAGAGCGGTTTCAGTGGTAGCCCGTCGAGTCGTATGGCGAATCACCACGGGCCATACGGTTCTGGTCGCTCTCGTATTGCTCAAATCACCGACGTCAACGTTTGACGTCGTGTCGGTTCCGGTCCGAGCGAAGTGCCCGGCTTGACGCTGCGAGGTCCCGGATGTAGATACTCGCATGGCTCCAGCGCGACTCATGGCGTTACAAAAGAGCTTACGGATGACAGACGCAGCCGGGGTCCGGATGTTCCCAGCCTGCGTACACTGAGTCATGCATGTCGCGATTAGTAATTGGTGTTCACAGGCGCGATGTCATGCTCTGGAACTGAGGGAACATGCTCATCAGCGTAAGAGCGACATTTTACCTTCGTGGGCCAGCTACGGCGCCTTGAGCTACCAACCATTATCTACCAGCTGCCACTACCACTTACTTCCAGCTACCACTCACTATCCGGGAGTGCACACGTCCCACTGGAGCCGTCTGTCAGCCCACAACCGTCACGTGCTCTCACATTGGTGCTTGTGTCCCAGCGTAGAGCTGACTCACTGACGGGCTGAGATGGCGCAGCTCGACACCGGATGCCCTGTTGTTTCCGGGGCTCAGAGTCGGGCGCGCTGGCGGCCCACAATCACGCACACAGCCCTGCCCCCCCCCCCCCCCCCCTCCTCTCCATAGCTGCCTGTTCGGCGGCGGTACGTTTGACTGACCTTTGCACGTCAGCTCCGGTAGGTTCCAGGGGAGGGGGCAGTGGGCAGGACGGGGCTGGCGGGCCCGGGCACCGCCTCACTCGCGATCGCTGCCGAGCTCCGTCAGCACGGAGGCCGCGGCGTCCCGACTCAGCATGGTGTACCGTCTGACAGGAGCGGCGCTGCTGCTGGCCGTGCTGGCCGCGGCGCGGGCCGAGGAGGCCAGCGTGGTGGGCGAGCCGCTCTCCATCGCCGCCTTCAACGTCCAGCGCTTTGGCATCACTAAGATGCAGAAACGAGACGTCATGGACCTGCTGGTCAGGGTAAGTCAGATTCAGATGGAACGACAGTTTAGTGTGTGTGGGTGTGTGTCTGTGTGTGTGTGTGTGTGTGTGTGTGTGTGTGTGTGTGGGTGGGTGGGTGGGTGTGTGGGTGTGTGTGTGTGGGTGTGTGGGTTTGCCTGCATGTTTGATGGCCTCATTTGTCCCTGGTCATGTGACCGTCGATGATCGCTCGCGCATATCGTGCATTGATGATCATTTCGGCGCTCTTTGCGAGCGAGGCGAAAAAACGATCAAGGCTTACAAGTGTTCTGTAGGTACTCAATGTTTGTGATGCTAACTCCTCCATGTGCTAGGCCAGTCTGGAAATGTTTGGCAAATTTCCGCATGATAGCGCCTGGATTTGGACAAAAAACAATTGGCTGCAACAAACGACAGCTTTTAAAAGTGGAGGATGGCCCAGATGAAACTTAACCTACATCCCTCCTACAGTGGCAAGGGTATTTGTTGCACAATCGTGACTGCGGTGGGTATCGGACTGGCAATTAAGCGCTGCAACGCGATTAGCGGCAGCGGCAGTCATCGGTAACCCCTTACTTGAATCTGTTAAGATTTTTTTTTCTGTTATCACACTCCTTTCTAAGCTTTTCATTAAAAGGCAGCTTCACGTTGTCTTCTGATTTGAAGTCGTTTCTCCGCAGTAAAACATTTTGTAATCTACGAAAGTTTTTTCATCGGGGAAGCAAGTTACAGTTACCGAAATATGGGTTAAAACTGTGCTTTGGGAGAAGGCCAGATCAACATTGGCGGCCAGCCCTCCCCCCCCCCCTTCCTCCTTCTCCTACAGATTTTACATAGGTGAAACCCCTGGGTGTGAGCACTGCGCGCGCCACAATGCAGTTTTCAGACAAGCGTAGCACAGCTATTTAACAGTTGCGCTGCAATATATTTGAGGCAGCTACTTCAAACATTTCTGATCAGGCAGCACTGCAGCCCTGCAATATCACGGCAATCCCACACCCCCATTTGACTAAGGCGGGAAGCGTACAACTTCCTAACTGCAAAGAAGCTGAAGAACACTAGTCGAAGCCGGGATCAGATGTCGCCGGCCAGGTGCCACGTTGACGCGGAACAGTCCCAGTGGCCAGTCAGGCCCGAGTACACACCATGGACCGGTCCCAGTGGCCAGCCAGGCCCGAGTGCATACTATGGACCAGTCCCAGTGGCCAGCCAGGTCCAAGTGCACACCATGGACCGGCCCGCATGGGCGGTTGGAGAAGCGACTGGAAGGTAGTCTGCGGAATGAGCAACTTGGTTTAGAGGTTAATTTATGTTATTATAAATTGCATATGATAGCTAGGTTACCTCCATATGTTTCAGATAATGATGGATGTTGTGACACGGCATGGCACACAGATAAAGGAATCGCTTTCACTTTTTTTCTAAACCTGCAAATTTCGTCATGTTATTGCTCGTGGTGGCACGAGAATTCATGTTCTCAATGTTATGATTTGTTTTTGTAAATGTATCACTTGGTCCCAGGGCGGTGTGTTCTTTCTTCAGTGAACTGCATCACATAACCTAGGCCGGAAATATCAGTGGTGAGAATGCTGGGCTTCCATGTGGGGTACCGAGTGCGCCTCGCGTCCAGCGGTCCCGAGGCAATTATTTGACCGCTGCACTCGCTGGCGCGCACTAATAAGGTGTGCGTCGATATGCCAAGCGCAACACGTTTCAGGTATCATCCCAGACCACAAAATGCCTTCAACTGGGGTCTGCATGCGACCAAACTCAGTGTTACTCAGCATGTAAGCAAGATATTTCTTAGTTATCTTTATCTTTCTTAGTTATCTTTATCTTAGTTATCTTATCTTTAGAAGACGTCACAACAGTGTTAAGCAGTTTTCAGAGTAAACACTACACTGTTGTAGCTATACTTGTAGGAGACTGAAGCCCGGTGCTTCGAAGGTGTGACGTGCGTGCGTGACTGACGTGCGTGCGTGCTTGTGACGAAGGTGCGTGCTTAAACAAAGTGTCATGTGTGGACCACTACATATGACCCTCATGTCAAATGGCTCTCGTGGCCTTCGTCTGCATTTAAAACGTCAGTCGCGGTACCTTCCATCTGCCAGGTACCCCAACTGATCTTCAAATGCTGTTTGCTACGAAGAACAGCATCGAAAGACATGGTCGCGGCTTATTGGTCGTCTTCAAAAGGATACATTGTCGGTATTGAATATTCTCTGCGTTGTTTTGCCTATATTTCAGCTTGCTTTTCATTATCGCCATGCACAACGTCACGCGATGCGGGGAATGAGCATTAAGATAGGCATCTGCCGCTGTCACTGACCCGAGGGCGGGTCCAGGATTCCGTGAAGAGTTAACCACTCGGCATGCGTGCCTCGCCGTCGACAACATATTCATACTCGAGTGATATTCGTGACGGTCAGCTGGTGTTGGTACCACACTAGGCTTGTCCGTATCGCTTGTTGTGCTCGTCGTGTTTATCTTCCACATGAAAATCGAATGAGTCCGTTTAAATGGCATGACTAAACCTCCTACAGCTCTGCTAGTTGGTAGCATAAGTAAGGCATTCGGGAAGTTACCTGCTAGTCTTAAAGTGTGTACCCAACGCGATCTAAAAGTCGTGTTGCATCTCCATTCGGGTTCTCATACCAATCAAAAGTCCTCTCGGACGAATACTGATTTACGTATTATCGAACTTCGTCGCCAGCTTGATGGTCAAACTCGCATGGCTATCGCCCCTGGACCTTAAGGCCCCTAAAAACTTTGAATTCCGGCCTTTCCCTTTTTCTTTTTGTTTATTATTTCTATACGCGAGAAAGAGTCTTCCTAAGCGCATCCGTGGATCGCCAAACACAGGACGTAAGCACACGGAGCACGTTCGTTTTCTCCAGAGACTTGTGATTTCCGACATTTTCAGGCTACGTTTTTTCGCAAAAAATATGACAAAATGAGTTACAGTATACTCCATCAAATTTAAGCACGAATATTAATCACAACAACTAATTATCGTTATGCGCGGTGAAACCGGTTGAAAACAAAATATTTGTGTTGCTTAGCTAACCTACAGCTAATAGGTTAAAGCGAAAGAAGCAGCTTTTACACGACTTTCGACCTGAATTTGTGACGGCCAACTAATGTTGCATGATGTACACATCGAGATCTCGGTATTGGCAGCCAAAGCTGGCGAGAGCAGCTAAATTTTTAGTACGGCGGTGAAATGTGGCGGGGGTATAAAAGGGAGTGTCTCACCTTTGTGGCATATTTCAAAAACATGCTCTAGTGAAACCTCAGGACGAGTTACGCCTGATAACTGAGTAGCACCGCTGCAACACCGTCTGGACATAACAAGGACATCAAATGTAATTATTTTCCCGCCTAAACTACGCTGTCAACGCTTTTGATCAACTTAACGATTCGTTCCTGCAGTCGCCACCACCGTCGTCACAACGGCCGTGCGCATCTCTATTGGGCCTTAAAGAACGTTTGTGATTGGCCCAGCGTGCAAGGAATTGTTATCGAGCAGTTGGTTGGTTGAAGTGTGGACCAGTGCGTCATACGGATTATATGATATTCCCGTTCCCAAAGCCAAAGTGCGCCTCGAAAAAAAAACGCAGTTCTAAACGCCAACAGGCCAAGACAAAGCACAAGCCACAGTACAAAGTTTCGCTGAATTCGCGGCAGAATAGCTTGATGTTGGCGTGAAGCATGTTCGCATGCTCACCTGTTTGTATAAGCATAGTGTTTCAAGTTTTCGCGGCATTTATTGCCCAGACAGTTTGACAAATCAGTGTGTTGCAATATAACAGAGCACACTCGTCGGAAAAGGCATAGCAAATGGAACGTATGACTTTCTTAGTGGTGAGCGAGTCAAATGAGACATCTCCCGTACGGTTGGATGCTTAAAATCGAAATTCTGAGCTATTCATGATTTCGAGGAAACTGGTATTATTGATTAAATCGTGCGCGTCTGACATATGAATGCGCGAAGAGTACAACGGGATGGGATACTCTCGTTTAACAATGTTTAACAATTAAATTACAGCCGCACACAGTCACATATCAGCCGACTGGTCGGGCTTCCGCTCCCCGTCCTCACAAGCTGACAGCCAAACCCGGGACTAGCGCCGAAACCGCCTAACATATGCCCCATTCTTAATTATGGGATCACGCCTCTCGCCCGAGACGCAGTACCATGCCGGGAGGGTCGCACGGCCAGTGCCCCCCCCCCCCCCCCCCCCCCAGTTGTACAAGAGGAGAGTTTTTTGTGGTCAGCGCCCGCCTGATGGGGAAGGGTCAAGGGGCATCGTCGGAGCGTACAGCGTCCATGCCCCGGTTCTGGCGGGGACAACACCCGAGCACCCACATCGTGCGTGTTTTCGTCGGCGTCCCATTGCCCGCGGGGTCAGAGGTCGTCCCTACGTGGCCGTCAGCGTCGGGGCCGTCCTGTTCTCTATGTACGGCTGCCGGCTCCTGATGCACGACACTGTGTTTTGCCTCGGAGGCCTCCCTTTTCGGCCCTGCGTACCACGCTTCATTTGTTTCGCGCGTTTTTCCTCTCAGGTGGACCGTCCTGCTCTCATTTTTCTGCATGGTCCGATCGTTTGGCCAGAATACGCCTTCGTGCAATATGTTGCCGGGCCGGCTTTCTCTACTCCCAGGGATCGGTCCCCGACGTGCCCCTGGACCAGAACTCGGGCGTCTCGTCCCCTGTGGCGGTGAGCGCGGGCTCGATCTTTTCCTGCCTCGTTTCGGGCGGGCCCTGCACGTCCCCCGGTCCAGCTCCCACGTGGTGCGGCGCTTCTGGTACCGGCTAGGGTGACAGCGGCACCGGTGCGGCACTTTCCGATGCTTTATGAAGTCAAGTGGTACGCGTGCGGAAGGTATCCAGGGCCGCAGGCTCCATCTGTGCGATTTTCAGGTTGATACTTGGGACGGATTACCACGTACAGCACCACAAACTAATGGCGCAATCACATGATATATTTCGTTCGTGTTGCTATAACTGCTAATCCCATTCAGAAAATAAGATTTAGATTTCTACAGGTGAAATGCTCCGCTCAGGAGTTGAACGGCAGCCCGTTCCATCCCAGGGTTAAGTATTTTGAAACGAAATGTTTTGGGTTTGAGGCTGACGTTTCTTACATCAAAGGCATGTACCTGAAATATCAATACATTCATCTTTTCATTCCCGTGGTTTTTCTACGAGAAATAAAGCTACCAATACTGTCTTAAACAAAGTATTTGCATCGCTTTCAAAACACAACCACTGAAAGGGTAAACCATTACAACTTCCTCGATTTCCCATGGAAACCCGCTGGGTCTTACCAAGCCCAAAGCCTAAGTTTCAAACAATATCCTCCGTGCATCTGTCCGCGAATGTCAAATAGTAATATGCTCATCTGTCTGCTAGACACTTGAGAGGAGGATGCTCCGAGCTATTGATGGCACGTAGAGACTTTCACTGGTACGACTGTCTTTACCCGTTCTACCTGCCACCCATGGGGAGGTGCCCATGACCTCCTTGTACACATTCCCAAACAAGTGATCCGCACTTGACCCACTCATTTGCATTTTTCCAGCATTTTATGGACGGGACTATTGTGACCAACGAAAGAGCATGCAATAACAGTGTGTAGTGTCTTTGAAGAATTTGCCCAAAGTTTCATAAACGTCATGCCCAAATATGCAAACACAACCTATTTTTTCCGAGATATGTGACCAACCCAACGCGTTACCTATTTCAAACATGTACCTTTGGGTTTACCCGTCCCGTGAAGTCCTTTAAAAGGATCTTATTGCTTGAGTTTCCAAAGTCATCGAGTTTCATTCACTATGTTTTGGCATCATCTACATGGTGACAACAACCTGCATTTGCTGTCACCTCGTTCACCCCATGTCGTAAGATACATCTTAAAAGCCACGGAAACAGGTACAAAGGTGATCCACCCCCGACGACCCGGCTCGCCCGCCGTCCGGACGCGTGACTCGCGGAGCTCGGGGGTCGGGTGCGTGGCGCGCCGGCTTCGGCCGCGCCCAGCCGGGCCTCGCGCCACCTGTGCGGCGGTGATTCAGATGCTGGGTCGCCTCGTGCGGTCGGCGACAGAGCACGTCCTCCACCGGAAACGCTCAGTGAAGGGCTGCGTGATCCCGTGGTATTTCAGAGGCCGGCAAGGCAATTTGGAGGTTACGTGTGTGACGGAAATGAAGGGACATTTTCAAGAGCAAATGAAAACAGTGCGTCTCGTACAGCTTGTGTGGTCGATGGAAGAATTTAAGGTCTCATGTTGGTATGTTGCATCTCAAGTTTATTTATTTTGCAGTGCATTGAACAAGTAACAAGTTTCATATTGATTCAGACGATATATCAACCTATTTCGGCTGCGACTTCTCGTGACGCGAAGTAAGGGCAAATCGTAAAAGTTAACTTGAAACCTGAAGGCCCATATGATGTTGTGATGCGTGAATCTTTCGTAATCCAGAAGTCAGCTGAGTAAATCAACTGAGTTGTGCGGCTGTTGTAAGGCACGAAATATCTCTTTGAGTCTAAGAAGCCTTTTCCAATTTCCTGCTCCTTGTGCATGCACGGGAACTGCTCAGTTCTGTTCTTTTTGTGCCTGGCTGGGACTCCAGCGTGAGATGAAAAAGAACAATACATGTCACGCATCACAACACAGCTACCCAAACGTCGTCCTGGACGCTCCAACCTGTGTGAACACACCGCCGATTCCTCACTGTGCAATGCTCTCTGTCCTAAAGAAGACCTTCTTACGAGGTGCTGCATGGGATCCATGGCACTGCATGCATTCTTTGTTTCCCACTCTTCGCAAGATTAGTTAATCGGAAGTCTTGATGATGCTAAAAGAGGGAAACGATGAAACACCTATTGCTCAGATTGAGAGACCATGTCATGTCTTTGTCCGCTAACCTGGTGCAAGAGGCGCCGAAATCCAGTTTTAAAAATACTAAGAGTTACTCCGGAGGTGTGCTCAAAATGCCAATGCAGGATGTCATGTCACAACGCTTTGATGTTATTTGAAGATAAGCTCCTCCTTCAAACTACAAACTTACGAGCGTGAGCTTACTTGCAGAGCGGGAGAGAGAGAGAGAGAGAGAGGAGAGAGGGAGAGAGAGAGAGAGAGAGAGAGAGAGAGGAGAGAGAGAGAGAGAGAGAGAGAGAGAGAGAGAGAGGAGAGAGAGAGAGGAGAGGAGAGAGAAGAGAGAGGGGAGAGAGAGAGAGGAGAGAGAGAGAGAGAGAGAAGAGAGAGAGAGGAGGATGAAGAGAGAGAGAGAGAGAGAGAAGAGAGAGAGAGAGAGAGAGATAAAGAAAGAGAGATGTTATATAGTATTAATAATATATATAATATATATATTATATAAATTATAGATCTAGATATACTGCTCCGTTTGTCGGCGTGTGTGTAAATTATTTAACCGGACGTAGAGCGTGTGGGAAGGCGGCACGTTTCACATCGCAGAGACAAAGAGACGTGCACGCGTCCCCTCGCCGCGCTGATAGTGGCGCTGCCGGCACCAACGGCGTCTCCTCGCCGCGCAGGAAGGCGAACAGGAACCGCGTATCTGTTCTAAATTTATGCGTGACATTGCGCAACTGTCATCCTTGACGGCTTGAGAGAAGTTGAGCTGGAGTTTACTGCAACCAGTGAGTGACGCGAACCGTAAACGGATGCTGACGTTTACCCATACCCATTTGGACGGACCCATTTGCCCATTTGGACGGACCCATACCCATATCCATACCCATATCCATACCCATTGACGTTGAAAAGTATGGCTTTGTAACCTCATTCTCCAAATGAATTCCATGCGCATAAATTTAAGTGAATTTATTCGAATAGGTGTGTGCTCTTCGCTTTTGATCGATGGCATCTCTTCGAACTGTGATAATCTTACGAGACATGCATTCGTATTGTTGTTTTTTTGGGGGGGGATAGTGTAATAAGTATATCTCAGCTAATTCCGAGCGGACTGATTTGATCGCGGTCCAACGCCTATCTGGGTGGCTGCGTGCTCAAACTGAGAGGTGACCCAGTCTGCAGTCACCGCATCGGTACAGCAGCTGAACAAACATGGCAATTTGTCTCCCCTTTCGCTGCAAAAGTAGCCTGCTACTAGCCGACCATAACCCCGCCGCCCGCCCGTCCACCCGTCAGGTCCTGTCCCAGTACGACATCACGCTCGTGCAGGAGATCGTGGACGTCTCGGAGACGGCCATCCACAACCTGACGGCGCGGGTGGCCGCCGCCACCGGCCAGCCTTACAGCGTCACCGTGTCGCCGCGGGTCGGCAGGAACGCGTTCGAACAGTACGCCTACGTCTATAGGTGGGTCCAGGTAGCTGGAGTTGTGGTCGACTCGAGCCCTCCGCCCGCGGTAGTCTTTGTGTCTCTCGCAGCCATTATGGCCATCATCACCAGCTTTTCTAGCAATGTGGGTTGCATTGCTAGCAAGTGGTCGTCCGTCGAAATTTGCTATGGTTCCGCCGGCGCCGAATGTTTCTTGAACGGGTTAAGCCCGACCACGGTCCCTGGGTGTTGTTCAGCTGACAGCTGGATGCGTGTGCTCTGTCTCCGACAGATCGGACCGCGTTGGAGTACGGAGCGCCCTCATGTACCCGGACCCCAGCGACGTGTTCGAGCGGGAGCCGTACATCGTCACGTTCGCCCTCGATGACGTCCGTGAGTTCGTTGGGACCTGTTTCCACGTCCGGAATCAGTCAGTCGCTAAGCTTTCGGTCACGGCGGACTAACAGACATGTGTGCTTGTTTGATAAGCTGATGTCTTGACATGTCCTCGCATTAAGCCACTGGGCAAGCAGGTAGCACTAAATCAAGGATTTCGTTGTCACGGGACGGAGGGACGAAATCCACTCTAGCGCTATATTACAGTCGAAGCAGATCAGAAAAGTAAAAAAAGTGGTAGTTACCCGTGTCTCAGACTCATTTTCCAATTCAGTGGCACTGGCAGGTGGGTATGGGGGTCATATGCCCCTCTATGTCCCGGACCGACGATTGTGGGCCAGATGTGAGGAGTTTGAAGGGCTGGCCGGAGGTCGTGTTAAAGGCCCCGTTCCGCAGGGTCAAGCCCGCGATTTGTGATGGTCGGGCCCCTGAAGCAATGAAGGCCCCCTGTGTCAGCTAGGGGCCCATAGTGCATAACAGGGGGTCTTGTGCTGGCAAGGGGCCCCGAGTCGGCTAGAAGCAGCGTTTGAGGGGACCAAAAAGTGGTCCGAAGAGCCCCTCGGGACGATGATCTCGGGACGATGATCAAGGGCCCGACTGAAACACTGAAGGCCCCGCAGGACCCCAAAAGGGCTGGTTGTAGATTGCATTAAGGACTCCTGCCTGCGGGACCGAGCTCTCAGATACCAGTCAGAGGACCCCTTGTACCAACTGGGGCCCCCTGGGACAATGCGGGCCGATGTGGGCCGTGTCACCAGAATGGTAGCCAATACTGAAAGGCACCCTGCGCTGGGACGGATGGCCCCTCAGTCCTTGGCCGGGACCGGTAATGCGCTCCCTAGTGGTCTGCTGAATGTATGTTGCAAAACACCAGTCCTTCCATTTATAGCGCGGATAGGGTTCGTCATTTCAGTAGTAGTGCTCGGGAGTCCGCGCCATCATGTTCTTCACAACGATGAAGTTCCGCCGCGAGCAATCCAACGTCCTCTGGCGGCAGGGTACCTCAGCGAGCTCACCCTGGTCGGCATCCACACCCAGCCCAGAAAGGCCGACGTTGAGATTGACGCACTGTCGGACGTGCTGGACTACGTGCAGCAGGAGATGAGCGCCAGTAATGTCGTCCTATTGGGCGACTTCAACGCCGGCTGCAGCTACGTCACGGAGACGGAGTGGGCGGTGAACCGACTGAAGAGTCGCCAAGACGTTGTGTGGACCATCGCCGACTACACAGACACCACCGTCTCAAGTACAAACTGCGCCTACGACCGGTAGGTGGCAGCAGCGGGCGGCGATTTTGGTAGGGACCAAGGCAATAGAACACCAGTAGCTCCGCAAGCTCTGTTGCTATTATGACATGAGTCGTACAAGGCGACTCATAGCTTGGACAACTTACTGTCGGAGGAGCTGCTTTTGAGATAGTGTGGAGCAAGACCGTAGACAAGGCGTGGACCGGGCCCGTAGCTGGGCGGGAGCGCTCGGAGCTCGTGCATCCCCTGCGATCTGGGGTGTATCACCACCCTCGTCCCGTCTGACTCCTATACTTTGGCATGAGGTATCATGACGATTGCGTGTGCTCCTTTTTTCTGTAGAGTTATGCAGCAAATAGTATACAAAATAATGGTAAAGCATAGCTGTCCAAGCCAGGAAAAAAAGGCCCGTGATTAAGCAAGTGCCCACTTTTTGCCAGGACGCCAGTGCACCTCCTGACAGAAGTTGGGACCCTTTTCAATTTTGTTCGGAACGCATGCTACGGACCTGCGTGCGCCGGTGTAACAGCGTCGTCACAGTCCACGCTCTGATCGGGCAGGATCGTGCTGAACGGAGACGCCTTGCTGAACGCCGTGGTGGACAACAGCATCGGCCCCTTCCGCTACGACGAGGCGTGGGGCATCGGGTTTGAGCTGACGGAGGATGTCTCCGACCACTACCCGGTCAATCTGCAGGTATGCGGCTCCCGAAGGCCACCACGTTTCATTAACCTGTAGGCCCACGCACTGCCATGCCAAGAAGAGTGTTGCTCTGCTACAATGACATTGCCCTTGTGACAGTGCTCAACGCCAGTGATCTCTGCATCTCTGATATACAACCCATTGAGAATTCGATTTCATTTTCTTTAAAATACACTGTAAACTTAACCCTATTTATGTGTGAGCAAGTCTTTCCCGACTGTGCCCTACGCTTCGTGATGTTCCCAAGTCGAGTGCGATCCTCGCTGACCACGCGGCCTTCGTCCATCAGCTGAAGCCGAAGACAGTGAGGGCGGCCGAGCAGTACCTGTACCCGCTGGACGTGTTCTCCGTCACCGACCGGCGCGGCGTGCCGGCCGATGACGTCAGAGCTCTGACCACCGCCGCTGATACGGCCCAGTACGACGTGCTCGGCCTCTACGACGCGCAGAGTCAGCTGGTCAAGGTCAGGGTGGCGGGCGGAGGTTGGGACAGATGACTGGAGCAGCAAAACGCTCCGGGAGGGCGAGCGATGAGATGGATGCTGCTTTTCCTATGCCTCTAGGCTAGTAATGGACGAACGAAGATCAGTGCTGACGACCCTGGGGACAACACGGACATTACCGTCCGCGTGTACTCTACGGATGTCACGATCACTGCCATTGCTTGTCAGGAGTCTCAGGAAATCTATTGGGGGATTGCGAAGCAAAAATAACACTTAAACATAGCTGTTTTGTTGGCATGAAAGTCAACTGGCGCTTGCCATTCATTTTTGTGACCGTTTGGGAGCGATGACGTCAATGACGCTCGCACTGGATGACAGTCGCGGCGCCAAACGGAAGTTCTGGCTGGCGCATCTTGGAAACTATTTGGGGCATCTCCGAACGAGCATGTTGAAAATGCTATCTCGGAGCATTGCGTCAATAGCTATCGATGTCTCGACTTCTACGGCAGGTCGAGGCTTCGTACAGGTCCTACAAGCTCTCAGGCGATGGAATCTTGGACACGCTTATCAGCTTCCAGACTAAGTTCCCCAGCATCGTCTCCAACTACGACCTGGGTCTGCTGCGCTACAAGGTAAGGCAAGCGGAAAGAAGGGTCGCTGCTGAACTGCCCTGTACCGCTAGCATTTGGGCCACGGAAACGCCCGTCCCTCGGGGCTTGGAAGTCGTCGCCATCGTTCATAAGCATAGGGATGCGCTCCGCGCGGCGCTGCACGGCGTTTCGCGCAGCGCTTGCGACTATGGGCACGGTCATATCAGCGTCCCGGCGCAGGCGGCATGGGCCACGAGTCGAACCGGGGCCTGCTGCGAGGGCGTCCGACGAGAATGGTCATATTCCGGAGTGATCCGATGGTCGTTCAATGACGTCACTGAAATGCGACCCACGTAAGCCTTACGTTTATATGATTTACTCATCTCAGCGTAGCGATATGTGTATGTGTATGCGTGTGTGTGTGATTAGCCGCTGAGCCCGCTGGGCCTGCAAGAATGCTAACATGTAGCCAGAGAACAGTTCAAGAACGAACTTTCTAGCTCAGCACGTGCATATTCAGATCAATCACAACCGTACTAGTGTGGAGGATGTGCATACGGGGCACGCTGCGCATTCTGCCTGCTCCCTTTCAACGAAGCATAGCTCGGCAGTGGTTACGATGTCGACGGTTGAGTGTCGACGAAACGTCTGGTGCCGCGGCCTTCCTGACCCGAGTCCGTGTCCACCAGATCGAGGCGGGCGCCCTGAATGACCCGACCGTGTACGAGGCAGCCGATGCGCCACGCTGGTACGCCCAGGTTTCCTGCTCCATGGCGTCCAAGCCTCGCTGCCAGGTCACCGTGGAGAAGCGCACACTCGTGGCCTGAGTCAGCTGATCGGACAGGTCACGCGTCGGTGTCACCTGACCGGACAGGTCACGTGCCTGAGTCACCTGATCGCACAGGTCACGTGGCGGCGTCAGCTGATCGGACAGGTCACGTGCCTGAGTCACCGGATCGGACGGGTCACGCGTCGGTGTCACCTGACCGGACAGGTCACGTGCCTGAGTCACCTGATCGCACAGGTCACGTGGCGGCGTCAGCTGATCGGACAGGTCACGTGCCTGAGTCACCGGATCGGACAGGTCACGTGCCTGAGTCACCTGACCGACCGGACAGGTCACGTGCCGGCGCCACCTGACCGGACAGGTCACTTGCTGGCGTCACTACATTCGACAGGTGACGCGCCAGTGCCAACGCGTACAACGGAGCGTGAGGAGTCAGTCAGTCGCACAGTCTGGTGGTGGTCGGTGACGGCGGGTCGCTATTGCCCGAAGCGGCAATTAGGGTGGTTGTGGGTTGTGAATACACGGGAAGTGCCGCGTACGGTCTCTTAAATAAATGTATGGAAAGGCTAACCAAGGTGCGACATTGCGTTCTTTGTACCGGCGCGGTTTATTTTTCTTCAGATTTCGGAACATATTTCTTAGAACCAGATGTGTGCGTCCGGCTCTGGACAAGGACTGCTCCGGATATTGCAAATATTTCTTTGGATTGCCTTGGATATGTTGGCTTGCTTTAATGCATTTGTGGATGAAAATTAGCGGACGGCGCTATATTGAAGTGCACGAAATAGATTTAATGTTGGTCATGGCAAGTGTGCCGGTAATATTCGTAATTTGCATGTAAGCGTTACGGAATGACTAAGACTCAGAGCTACAAACATTACCTCTGGTAATTTACCCCAATAGGCGCAGAACATCAGCAGGAATTGGATACCTAGTGGCATCCCGAATGCATTAGCACTCACCCTGATTTCCACAGAGGTGTAAACAGATGTGCACACATTTATCTACTATTATACTGAAGGAACTGTGTGTGTGTGTGTGTGTGGTGTGTGTGTGTGTGTGTGTGTGTGTGTGTGTGTGTGTGTGTGTGTGTGTGTGTGTGTGTGTGTGTGTGTGTGTGTGTGTGTGTGTGTGTGTGTGTGTGTGTGTGTGTGTGTGTGTGTGTGTGTGTGTCGGCTGCGCTCCCTGCAGGCCAAACGGTCGGGATTTTTCCATCAAATTTGCACATGACCGAGATGTACCGGCTGCACATTTCTGAATCACGTCAAAATTTCGCATTTCGCAAAAATGAGCACGTGCCGAAAAAACGCATAAATCCCGTAGAATTAACACGGACAACGCCAGTTTCAAGACGACCGGCCGACGCTTCGCTTCCCGAAGCCGTATCTGGGTAACCAACTGTCGCAGCGACATGAAACTTGCACAGTCCGATAGCGCAGGGAATGGGCCATCGCAATCGGGTGGGTTTTTGGCGCCACGTCACATGTGGCACGTGCACACGTGCTGACAAGATGGAATCGGCTGTTTTGACGCGGTTTTACGTTCACCATTGTATCTTGGCACGGAAAGAAGGAATTTTATTCTCCAACATTCATAATTGAGGCCGCTACATTTTCGGTGCGTATCGCGAGTTTCTGCAACGTACCGGTGCGCTGCAAATTGCAATACAGTTTACAGCGGGCCGAGTATTAAAAACCGAAGCCGAATACAAGCCGCTACCGTCAAAACTATGCGTGATCTAGCGTTGAAAATTACATCATCGTGTCGGCCGATGCCTGCTGTCTCTTATGCACCCTTTTGATGACCGTATTGAAAAATGTCGCTCTCAAATGAGCCTAGACTAAGCGGTTGCACGACGGTTTCTTCGCCGCGACGGCGGCAAGTTATTGTCCCGGCTTCCGGCGTACGCCCTAGGCGTTACTGCCTGGCGCGCGGCGTGTTGTTGCCACGCCTCCTTCCGGCCAGCGGCAAGGCGGGCGGCGTTCCGCGCGCGATCCTTGTCGCTCACACCGGCGCGATTTTTCATTTAGGGCTCACACCTTTGCTCTTTTCCCCAGTTTTACACATTTTGTGCCACATCTCTGCATCCAGGGCACGGACGCACTCGGAAGTAACATGCTTTGGTAGGGAATCGAAGGGGCAATCACGTATGCGCGTGCCGGGAAAGCTGACTTTGCCGGCACCGACCTTTTTTTTACTTTTCCACACAATACCATGCCGTTTAATACACCGGCAGTGCGTACTGCCAGCATTCAAAGGCGGACAGTTGATGGAAGTGGCATAAATCTCCGGTCACGTCTCACGATCAATCCCCGGTCCCATGAAATAGGTGTGCCTGTGTGGCAGAGAGGGCGGGCAGAATACGCTCTCTCCCGTCGGCAGCCACCAGAGGGCACCGGAAACCGCACAGCCCGCGGCCGAGCCTCACGTTTTGCGCCGTATCTCGGCCCCCAGATAAGCTAGAACCGTGGTTTGAACTGCAAAAAAGAGAATTAAATGTTCTGTGAGTTCTCATCGTGCGCAGCGAAGCAAACGCGCAAGCGCTTGTTGATGGCTATTGTCATTGTCGCATAACGCAGGCATTTGTGACTGATGTATTGTGGTGAAGTGTTTCACGACTTTTATTACTACGGGCCATCCCCTCACTAAAGGGCTCGGTGTCGTTTTCAGTTAACACTCACCTCCCGTTTTTAATTCGTTTCTCAACGTTATTTCACATCCTTTCTCTGCGCACAGTTTTCGCTCGTGTTACTAGCCATCCCAGACAAAGAAACTCAAAAGAATACCCGGCAACTCTCACTCTCCAAAGTTAATCGGCGGGAGGACCCGGCAGCCGGCGACAATGAGCGCCGCAGCTCTTCGCCGGCCTCGTCCGCGGGCGCGCTCATGGTCGGCGGCGCGCCGCGCTCGCCGCCGCCGACCGCGCCGGCCGGCCAGCGGCGCCGGCGCCGCGACACCGCCAGAGAAAGGGAAAGTCACACCGCGACGCTGCCGCTCCAGCGGATGTCGATCGGCCAGCTGCCGGCACCTCCGCTGAAGGAGCGAGCTTCGCCCGCGTCGCCGAGGCGAGAGATGTCACGCCCGCGCGGTGGTGCAATGTGAGCTGGTTTGTTGGGGAAGAGAGGGCGGGACGTGTCGCGCGTGTCTCGCACAGCTGTTGCGGATTTTCAGGGCAACAGGTGACATCTCAGTTACCAAGCCAGGTAAAATTCCATCATCGGTTAGCATATGTCGCGGGAATTAACGTGGTATCCGGTGACTTGTCCGGTTTGTTTCGCAAAATAACGGCTGTCGTTTCGTCAGCACCACAGGTGGTAGGTATGGACAAATTTGAAGTACATCATGTACAGGCTCTAGGCGCAACTTTTAAAGAAAACAGAGAAACTGTACACTTCGCTGTCAGTCCAATGTGCGTTGAGTACAGCCCGTCTGTGGAGGATCGCACGGACCAAAGACTATAAGTGGCTTATACATACATACATACACACATGTATATATATGCAACATAAATATATATATACATATATATATATATATATATATATATATATATATCAGCTGCTGACGACAATTGCATCTTATCTCCACCTCCTCTTGGGACGGCAAAGGGCCCCACAGACATCCGTTTTTAAGGTGCCCTCAGATGTGCCAGACCACGCCATGACATGTCACGCGCCCTGTCCGGAACGTTTGTCTCTCATTTGACACATTTTGCCTAGTGCAAACTTGTATGACCTGACCGATTGAAATTCAGAACTATGCAGAATCATGTTGACATGAGACGTGATAACGAAATAAAAGCAGCGCGGCGGTCGCTTATAATGCATATGTTATGCATACACCCGTCATCTTATGCAGATATTTTGATATCGCTATCTGACGCCTGAACGCAAAGCACGAGGACGTGACCTCATCAAAGAGGTTATTGCTCGTGACCTTTGCGAGATAGGGTGCTTGAAATGTCCACATAAGGTGAAAGAGATCAATAGCTGAAGCCTGGTAAATTTTGGCGCTTGCCTAGCGGTTCAAAAGTCACTGTAGAAAGGTACATGGCTCCACACTTCTTCATTTTGTCCCTGCCGCCTGCCGAGGGTTAAGGGGGCTCGCGGATGCGTGGAAAGCTACGACACAATTTTGGCTTCTCGGGTTGATGAGTTCAAGGTTTTTATGCTGAGTCAACGACCTTCCTTATACAGGAAACAAATGAAGGCTGCTAAAAATATGTTCCGTGCTGGGGTACGAGCGTTATTTTAAATCCATGGCCGCTCCTATCTTCGTACAACGTTACAGTTCTTCTCATCCCACGGCTGCTAAGAAAACGATGTTTATTCACCGACGCGAAGAGCAGTGCGGATGTATTTTGATCTTTCTATTCACAATCATGAGAGCGTAGTCTAACCAAACTGTTCTCCTTTCCCGTCAAAATGAGTACTCCGAACACAGAGTGAGGTATACTGCTTGTGCCGTGCATTCTCAATTCAACGCTGCAGACGGCTTTCGTAAAAGTTGTAAGAAGGCAAAGCAAGCACAATGTCTATGTGAAACTCCTTTTGATGGAGGACGAGCCAGGTAAGCAATTCACTGTCGCCGTGCGATCGGCGATATGCAGGGCTTTAGGGTAATGTAGACTAGTGATCCATACTACTACGATGCTAGTGCGACCAGTCCATGCTAAGGCGATCACTGCCAGAAATCCCAACGTGCCCAGCTGGGAGGAGGATTTATTCTACATGTGCGAATGAACTGAAAGCTAAATGCATGCAGAACAACGTAGCATGCAAGATATCTTGTAACCTTTGCCTAGGGATATGCTATGGAAGAGAAACAAGATATAGCATTCATAACCGGCTTAACCGGCTACCTTGGAGACGCACGGTTACCGAGAGCGTTCACTCATGCACACCATTAGGAGACCACATGGTAGTTCGACATGCCATAATGGAGCATATGAGTATATGACCATATGAGCATATGAGCAACAAATACCAATTTTGGCTATACATTTCATCTACATTTATATTTAATTTATAATTTAATTATATACTTATCGTATGTAATATATAAACTATAATTATACACATTTAATGTATAATTGATAATGTAAGTTTTCTAAATTTATTATGCATTTTATCTAAGAACAATGCGGACCTCAAGGTCTTGGGATCACTGCATATTCGGGGTCTTCACCCCAGGCTGAACGTAAAAACTTTACCACGAGACCTGGCTCAGACAACCTTGTTAGATAATGCACGGTCCTGCAGTTTAATTAATGTCCGTGGTCCAGATGACCGCGGTAAGTAATTATTTTATTTAATAATTAGTGTGGTTTATTGCAATCTTCCAGATAAGCTGCCTGTGTTTTTTCAGCCCGTAACACAGAAATGTAAACATATGGAATGTTAGGAGCTTAGATGAATTGTCCTTTTTAAGATGCTTTAACTCCAGCGTCTGCACAGAAAAGGAACATTCTCTGGATTCATGCGTCTTGATCTTCAAGTGCAATGTTTTGCCTACCCGTTTAATCTTTCTCAACCCTTGTTAGTCTTGAGGATGAGCGCAGTTCGAAATATTCATTACCGCCAACATAACCGTTGTTTATCTCCACAATGTCGTTTAACCAGTGTTCCCTGATATATCGAAAGTAGTTGACTCAACATATAACTCAAGAAACGGGGGAGTCACTCTTCATAGGCGCAAATTTTTGACAGATTTTCCATATCAACCAGGTTTTTACCACTTAATTTTAACATTTTGAACTGATGGATTTTGAGCTCAGAGCACTGATCAATGCTTGCGCGAACCCTCGCCCCACCATCCGAGTGTGAGATTCCCGTTCAACAGCGGGATTTTGTGGGGAAAATTGCATTTGCCGCAATGCTCGACAGGGCGTTAATGAACTTATGGGGTGTTATTAACTGTTCCACTAAACAATGATTAAAGCAGCATGGAAAGCCAATTTCCAACCAAAACAACTGCGTGGCAAAAGTAAGGACATCGCGTTCGCTAAAGGCAAGCGATTGCTGCACAAACAAAACGATGTAGGGCGAAAGTCACATTCTGGATATAGGACTTTCGAACTTTCCACGATACCTTTCAGAGATTTTCCTAGAAAGTTTTTTTCTGCTTACTGCAAATTGGTATTAATTACCAAATCATCGAACTCATCGAATTTGTCATGTAATTCGGATGTTTCCATATGGTTTGCATTCAACATGGACCCAAAATATGTGCGAGCCGCCAAAGCGCTGCGCATGCCCCTGCACAAATGCTTAAATGCTCTTCTCATGTCGTCTTTTAAATATCACTTTTAAAGGTAGGTATTGGTGCGCTATAGTTACGCACTAGGTCGTTTAAGTGCGTTATTTGTTTATCTATTCTTTATATCTAAATACCCTCTGAAATAATGTCTGTCGCAGATGGGATTTTTTCAGATCCCAGACTATTATTTCAGACATTTTGTAAGATTCCGCCGCCATCGGGTATTGCCTTGCTTGCTGCATATCGGTACTAGCCGAGATTTATCAAATTCAATAAATTTTAAGATGATATTTTGCCGTTCTCAGCTTGTTCGCCTTCAAGCATCACTTATCCCCGCGGAAAAAACTAACGCGTCGAACGCGTATCGCACATGAGCTTCTTAGTTATTAGGCTCCCTTTTGTCTCGTCCAAGAGCTCAAAGAAGTGATAGTGATCGGGCACAAAATCATGGTAATTCTACGGGCATTTTAGACGTCAGCGTCTATTAAATGGGAGAAAGAGTAACAATAGGGAATAATTTATGACGGTCGTGTTCTAGTTTGTATTTTCACGGTGGAAAACAAAGCGGAAAAAGCGGTAATATTCCAGGTGTTTTTGTTCTGTGGATTTAAAGTGACTGCTTACTCAAAATCGTCCATTCTTTATACGAAACCGGATTAGACACCTATTTCATTGACACAATTCTTTAAACCGAGCACAAATTTTTCGGAACAAACTGTGAACCATTGCAGGCATAATCAAGCAGATTACCACGACATTTATGCCCTAGTGATGCACTGGCTTGTAACGGTCATGTAGTATTGCAATTCAAGCTGGGACGACGAAGTCTAGTGACGAGTGCTTATGCTTCGTGGAACAAAATTACTGTTTTAAAACATCCCTAGCACAAGAGGCAACATTTCACGATTAGCAGGCACATAAATGTAAACGAGCCAGTGAATTTTGGTGAATTGCTCATTTATCATGTTTCTGCGCGAAAGGTGTTGTCCTGATGAACCATACATACATCTCAGAATCTACTTGTAGTTTTCCCGCTACGTCTCATTGAATGGTAATAACCATTCGAGAACCTTTGATTTGACTCGCGTTGCATTGCAACGAACACAGCAGCATGCATGAATCATGTTTTCACGTATATCTTTCGGCTCGACGACCAATCATGTCAACTTACAGCTAGCCAAAGGCACCGATAACGTGCGGGTCGACTATCTAAGTTCCAACAGGCTGCCGGGTCGGCATGATAATAGCTGTCCGGATGGTAGCACTACACAACACAAGAATTCCCTCCGCTGTTCCACGCAGTCTAGCCGGACCAAAAGCGGCTGGTCAGATTATCCAAGGTTAACTGAATATGCTACTGCATTACGTAGTGCATGAGCACGGCGCAGTAACTGCAACTTTCTGCCCATTCAACCGGCCCACTAGGCCTCAGGCTGGCATTCGTCAGCCTCTCAGGGAATCTCCTAAACAGGGCGTTGCTAACGGGCCGCATTTCTCATCCCGCTCCGTTACCGTCGTGTCCCGAACTCTTCCCGCAGTGGCCGGCGCCGCGCCGTATATAAGGCGGCCGGCCGGCGTCGGCACCAGCTCAGTGTCAGGCCGACAGCCCAGTGAGATCATGAGAGCCCTGCTGCTTTTGTGCGCGGTACGTGACTCTCGCGGAGACCTACCGGCGTGACGGGCCGTGTGACTGTGCTCCGCCCCCGGGCGGAGGCCGGCCTGGTTACCGAGTGTTTCGCCTCGTGGGCCACTGCCGGCTCTGGTGATGCTGGCTTTCCGTCGATACCGGGGTTGGGGATCCCGGCTTCCTGTTGACACCGGGTTTGGGGATCCCGGCTTCCGCTGGCATCGGGTATGGTGATCTGGTCTCCGTCGATACCGGGTTTGGGGATCCCGGCTTCTGTTGACACCGGGTTTGGGATCCCGGTTCTGCTGGCGTCGGGTATTGGTAATGCTGGCTTCCGTTTAAAAAGACGGCTTTTGGTTGCCCCGTCACGCGTTGTGGTCTGTGTTCAGGACGACGGCTCTCAGCTCTGATGCTCAAGTGCCACGTGTCTGTGGCAGATGCGTGGGCACGCCTCGAAAACCATAGTTGTTTGTCTGACCTGAGCTAACGACTAAGTAAATGCCCGTTTTTCACCTGGCTGCCTTTTACCAGAAAGCAATGCGTGATACCGTTTCAGTCGGCTGCGACAGGTTTGACGCACAACCCCCGTCGGAGACCCACGATTTGTGACCCCGTTTCTGACGGTAACCGCCCACTTGTCGCGGCTTCGTCCCTGACTGCGGAAGGCCTGCCCGGTTGCAGGTGATCGGCGTGTGCGTCTCCGGTGCCTACGGCGCCAGGCGCAGGTTCGGCGCAGGACCTCCGCGGCCGGTCCAGAGGAGGGTGAGTGCAATGTGTGGGTGACCCCGGTGCAGCGCACCGGAGAAACTTCACTGGAATAACAAAATTATGGATTCCACGTAAGCGCATGGCATTCACATCTTGAATTGTTATTGCTAGTGAGGTTTTACTTCGGTTAACGTTGATCCCAGCTATTTAAGTTGCTAATTTCTTATGTTTTGAAACAAAACCACCGCGCAGCCCAAAATCGCGCATTACGCACGTCACAATCGATGTCTGTTCATCAACATTTAACACTTCCTTTGGACATATAGAGCACTCATATGATCCGGCACTCGCGGAAAGCCTTGCGAACCGATGACACCACCCCGTTCTCCGCAGCCAAGCGGCTGGCGGGAGTTCCAGCCCAACGAGCGGCTGGACTTCCAGCCGGAATTCCGGCGTTCGGCGCCGCGGGAGCAGCTGCGCCTGGCGCCGCAGGAGCCGTTCCGTCTGGCGCCACGGGAGCAGCCGCGCCAGGAGCCGGCGGCGCCCGTCGCTGACGACTGGCCGGTGCGGGGCCCGGTCGTGGAGGAACGCGAGGACCCGGCGCCGGAGCCGCTGCAGCCGCTGGAGCCGCTGGAGCCGCAGCGCTCCGAGTTCGCGCCCGCCTACAGCGAACCGGAGGTGAGCCGGCCGGACCGCGGACGGGCCGAGTGCGGGGCGAGTCTTCAGGGCACAGCGGCCTGGCCTGGCTGGGCCTGACATGCGACGCGTGGTGTGACGGCTGCTGCGGCAGGAGCGGGTGGGCCTGCAGCAGATCGAAGTTTCGAAAACTCCCCCTGTTTGAAGGGATCCGAGCCCATTAATATTTCAGGCCTTTAACATGGGTCTTTGGGGATTACGTAAGAACACTTGACTCAAAGCCGAATGTGCAGCGCACACCCCGCTACAGCAGCTTTGAGAATGTTCCATCGGGTTCATGGCTGTTTTATGCAGTCGTTGACAGTCCCGGCGCAGGCTGGTTTCGAGCTGGCATCCCGAGCGGTTTGTGCCGTGCGATCAAGTATTGCAACTGACTGACGGAGGCGCGACGGGTGCCTACTGCGCTGCGCTGACTTCCGAGAATCCAACATGCGTTGATTCGCATGCCACGCCAGTGACCACTATACCGGCCGCTGACTGCGGCGTTCTGTGGCGCAGGCGGCCGCCGACAGTGCGCCGGAGCAGTACTCCATCACGATACCGGAGAAGACGGAGAAAAACCGGCTGGAGTTCCAGGTGCACGGCCAGCAGGGCCCTCACAGCTACCGCTTCGGCTACGACACCGGCAGCGGGTGAGTAGCAAGGGAGCCGGGTCAGGTTGGGTCAGGTCAGGCCCGGGCAGGTCTGAGGGAGGTAAGATGTGGGCTGGGTCAGGCTTGAATCAGGCCACATCTGAGCATGGCTGGGGCAGGTCAGGTCAGTGGCAGGCCTAGTCTGGAGCAGGTCAGTTCTGGGCAGATATGGGGCAGGTGATCCAGGGCTGTCTGGCGGACCGACGGAGCCTCCTGTGCCGATGCACAGGTCGCGGGTCGTCCACGCGCCGTAATACGCCCGCTGCGTTAACGTTTGCCGCCATAGTGGAAATTGCGGCGTGGCATGGCTCAAACGGGCTGATCGAATAAGCTACGCCACACCGGAATGTGTCACAGCCCACGGGCGTGGTGACATTTTACAGGTTGCGTTGAGACTCCTCTCTTTGGGTAAATTGAGATCGAATTCTTTCGAGTTTTGCACACACGTCACAGACGGCAACGGCAGTCCAACGTCATCCAATGAGATGCATGAAAGCTGTGTCTGCCTATCTGACCGGCTCGACCGTCCAGTGGCCCATGACGCCGGCAGGGCGGCGCAGTAAGGTGCAGCCATGCGTTGCACGTCCCCGGTTCCCAGTAGCCGTCAGGAGAGTGGGCAGGTGTGTGTCTGGGGATGGGGATGTGATGATGGTGGTGCTGGAGATGGGAACCAGAGCCCAATCACGGCATGCAGCGGGGCCTGGCTCAGATCAAGTGCCTTAGGATTTTACCAAGCCTGCAACGGCTCATCACCGGCTCCGTGCAGCCTGCAGCGTTTTCACTCTCTGAAGCAGGCTGCCGATATCACGTGTCGTCCGTTTTCACCGCCGCCCATTTTAGAAAACGAAGTGCTGTTAACCCGCGCAGTATGAGAGGGGGCGCCTGTTCCCACCCTCCGTCGCGGTTAAATTCCGCACATTACATTTATCAGCGGGAGGCCGTCGGACCGCTTCGCTGGTACACTGGCCATTAGCCAACCGGCGAAAGCTCGTCGGTCACCCATCCGTGACATTGGTTCGGCTCTCGTGGACCGCGCCAGGGTCGGCTACCCGAGAGCGACCCCACCCTCGCGCCGCCCGTGGAGCAGGCTTTCAGCATTTCGAGGCCTGAGTGCCTGGAGTGAGAGCTGAGTAAGTGCCACACCCCACCGATGAGTTGTATGCCTTTTTCAAACCCCGGTTAGCAGAACAGACGGACACCCACGGCGCAAGGGAGGTACATTTCATGGTCAGTTGATGGGAATCATAATGCTGTCCCTGCGGCTCTCAAACGACCGCCGCAGTCATGTTCGCGTTTCGCTAAATGACTCGAGGCGCCGGCCCCACCGTGCTGGCCGAGCCCGGCCAGACGTCGGACTGGGCGACGACAGGAATCTGCGCGCCTGAGCCCCCACTCAGTCAGGGCTGTCCGAGTGGTGACTCCGCCT